TTCAGCAGGAGTTCCCTGAACTTTGGCAAGACATCCCTGAACTTCTGGAGAACTTCTCTGAACTTCGGCAGGAGTTCTCTGAACTTCGGCAGGAGTTCTCTGAACTTCGGAAGGAGATTTCTTTTATATGGCTTTCTCAATCTAGGGTAATCCAAACAGTCAGTTTTGCATTTCCCTTTTTGGATTACCCTAGACAGAGAAAACCATATAAAAGAAATCTCCATACGTACCAGTCGAAAAATCTAATAAATCACTTCGGCAGGAGTTCCCTGAACTTTGGCAGGACTTTCCCGAAGTTCAGCAGGCCTTCCCTGAACATTGGTAGGCCTTCCCTGAAGTTCGGCAAAACTTTCCTAAACTTCGGCAGAACTTTCCTGAACTTCGACAGAACTTCTCTGCATTTCCACAGAACTTCTCTGAATTTCCGCAGAGCTTCCCTGAACTTCAGCAGGACTTCCCTGAACTTCGACAAGACTTCTCTGAAGTTCGACAGGCCTTCCCTGAACTACAGCAAGACTTCCCTGAGCATTAGTAGGACTACCCTGCACTTGTAATCTTGAAATTGAAGTTGTCATTTCAGTAGTTGAATTATTATTATTATTATTTTTAATTCTAGTTACTTTAACGCTCTTGGGTCATTCGTGACTTGTCCGGGGGTGAGATTTGAACTCGTGACTTAGGCGTGAGAGGTTTGGATGCTAACCACTACGCCGGGGTCGCCCTCAGTAGAATTATTATAATCATACATTATTGTGTTTACGAATATGTTCAAAATTTCAATACTTCTAATTTGCAATGCTTGTTGGTATTGGTGCATTTCGAATTTGGGTGTGATTTGAACGGGTGTGGATTCAGCATCAACAGAAAGGCATTAACTTTCACCTTAATGTTCTCATCCGTATTTCTGGTAGCACTGATAAAAAGCTCAGATGCTCCGTGTTCATTTCACTCACACTACTTACTTATGCCAGTATCGAGTCCAGCGTTGCCAGAATGTTTTAAAGCTTATCGGTATCAAAGGTTTTAAAAAATCGGTATTTGTCGGTATTTGCTATTTTAATTAATTTTATATTTTTTGCCGTTTTTGAAAGCGAAAATTTTGACTTTTGGACTATGATCGGAAAATTCCAGAAGAAAACTTCGGGTAATGTTTGAATTGGCTTCTGGAGGAAGCTGGAAAAAATCCAGAGAAAGAAGAAAGAAGTTTTCCTGGAGGAAATTTGAGTAAAGCTCTGAGAGAAGTCGGAAAAACATCCGCGGAACTTCTGAGACATTGAGAAACTTCTGGCGAAAATTTTAAGAAACTTTCAGAAAAAATCGGATTTCCCATTCAAAGGAAGGCAGAAAAGTTTCGGAAATTGGAAGTAAATTCCAAAAGTAGCCATTTCCAGGGGAAGCCAGAAGAAGTTCGGAAAAACCTTCCAATAGAAGTAAAAAAAAACCAACTGGACAAAATTCCAGAACTAGGCGAAAGAAATTTCTGGGAAAAGTTTAATTGAACTTCCAGGAGAAGACGGAAGAAGCTTCCTGGAGACGCATGCAGAAAATTCCTGAGGTAGATTGGAAAAAAAAATTCTGGAGAAAGTCGGAAGCTATAGCGCTTACGGAACAGTCAAAAGAAACAAGGAGATAATTCCGGAAGAAAGAGGATGTTCTAATGATCCAGAAATTTTCCAAATGGTAATAAACATCCCTGAAGACCCCGCAATGCCTTTGAAGTTTTTAGGACATTCCTGAAATGTACTTAGGGATTTTATGCTGTTTTGGAGTACTCTGATCATTTTTTGAAATACTTGGAAATTCCCTAATTATAATGAGACTACCGGAATATCTCTAATCAATTTTGAAGGTCTCTAGACTTTCTTGAAGATTACGAAATTTCTTAAGCGCAAAATTTTCTTAAATTTATTGTAACATCAGCATTGAAGTTCTCTGATCTTCCCGATTTTTCTAATTTTTAAAAGTTATCGACACTGCCATTAATAAGCACGGAACATCCCATAAAATGTTCTCACAGTGTGCTTATGTTCATGTAACTTCCCTTACGTTTCTTAAATTTGCATTAATCCCTCGGATCATTGCTGAAGTTTTCGGAAATTGCCTGAGTTTCTCGAAACTCCTTTAAAATTTCAGCGATTTCCTTGAAATTTATTGATCTGTCCTGACGTTCTCGGAGCTTCCTAAAGTTCTCTCAAATCTCCTGAAACTAATAGAACTGTTCTGAAAACCTTAAATTTTCCAGAAGTTCTTTGGACTTGTAAAGTATCCAAAATATTTATGATGTATCCTTAAGTTCACTGGAGCTCGCTTGACCGAAACTTACTCAAAAATCTGAACTTTTCCGAAGTTTCAGAACTTCTTAAAAGTTCCTGTAGCTAGTTTGGATCTGCAATCAAAATCTGGAAGCATCCCTGAAGTTCCGGAAAAGTTGAACTGGCGGGAGAAGATGGAAGAATCATTCAAGCGAAGGCTGAAGAAGCTTCCAAGGGAAGTCGAAATAAGTTTCCGAGAGTGTAATCGGAAGAGCCATAGACTGTTTATCGATTCAAGGGTTTTTAAAAACGGTGAGGAAATTTAAAAATTAATCGAAAGAGTATCCATAAGACATTTTTGAAGATCATTTTTTCGTTTTAGAATTTTAAAGGCCTAAAAATTTTTAGTTATTCAAAAAGATACAATTCTTTCATTATAATTTTCTCCAAATTCGAGCGCGGGCAGGCAATAATCATTTTGATTATTTAAAAAAATCGGTATAAATCGGTATAAAACATCAAAAATCGGTATTCTGAGGAACCTTATCTTAGAGTCGGTGTATAATGAGTCACGCCAAGAGAAAAACAGTTGAACTCGCATCACGGTTTTCGGAAGATTCCCATTCTTTTCACTTGGCAACAGAGGACTTCTACAACAACTTTAAATGACTTCTAGCGAGAGAAAAAATATTGCGGCTGTAGTACATCATTATATCAGTGATTTTGTCAAATTATCTTAACAAAAAATAGTAGAAATTCTCATTACTAATCATTACCGAGCGTATCCCATGACAATTTAACGCTCACTGCGTGTTTATGCTCATTTCTTCGATTATATTTTATATTTTATTGCAATACCTTTCGTGAACCTTTCATAGCATCGTAATGTTTATTTATTTTGCACGATAGGTAGCCGGTTTGACAGTTCAATAGGTAGACTTGGCTTCACTTTTGGCGTGACTCATTATACACCGACTCTACCTTATCTGTATATCGGTATCTAGTTCGGAAATCGGTATAAATACCGATAAATCGGTATATCTGGCAACGCTGATCGAGTCTATAAGTGGAGCTTTTTGACTTCAATCAGCGCACACTACTGCACTATTTAAAACGAATAAGCGTGAGCAACAGGGAACGGGAAACAGACTAGAGCTTTTTGACGTTTGATCGACGCACACTACGACGAACGAGTGCGAGCAAGAGGGAATACACGCTAACTTCTGCTTACTCACCAGGTGAGTCGATCGTACTCACTTTCGTCCGATGTATCGAGTTGTCAAAAATTGAGTAAACGAGAAATGTCAAACTGAGTAAAAGCCACTCAGTCAGCAAAATCCTAGACTTGGAAAAAATGCCAGTCATGTCGGAGGAAACCTCATAGAAAATGTAGCTCAAAACCGGCTGAAATGCCTTCAGGTAAGTACGCATTGCTTAGGGAAACGGTGTTGAACCGTTTTTTGCTCCGGTAGAATGAATCCGGAGCAGGCAATTTCCATTTCCTTGAATAAAAATCAAAACAAAAACTCTCCCTGCAACTGAAAAATACCGGCGAGTGGATTTGACTCAGTCTACGTGAGAACGTAGTTTACTCAAAAGTGAGTCAACATAAGGCTACTCAATTTTGAGTAGCCATACTTGCCACTGAGATGAGTACATTCGACTCAATTTTGAGTTGACCAGAATAAGCGTGCAGGCAATTTCCATTTCCTTGAATGAAAGTCAAAACAAAAACCCTCCCCGCAACTGAAAATACCGGCGAGTGGATTTGACTCAGTCTACGTGAGAACGTAGTTTACTCAAAAGTGAGTCAACATAAGGCTACTCAATTTTGATTAGCCATACTTGCCGCTGAGATGAGTACCTTCGACTCAATTTTGAGTTGACCAGAATAAGCGTGTATGCACTACCCTATCACTGCACACAGCCACCTAAAACCCAACCATTTGAATATCTACTCTGCCTCAATCACTGCACTCACACTGCCCCTGCTCGGGGTACACAGTTGTAATAGAAAGAGAAGCCGATATTCCAATTAGATTTATTCAAATTGGAATAACGGCTCCTCTTTCTACTATAGAGATTGCTAAAGTATGATTGTGTAAGTGATTTGTTTTCATCGGGAAAATTTTCCGCTATGAAGTTTTTTTTCCCGATGAAAACATTTTGCGTATACGTATACTTGACGCACACTACGTACGACAAACGTCAGCAATCTCTATAGCTGTTTATCCTTTTTCAAAAGCAGTTTCAAATATGGCAGATTGAGTCACACACACTTGAATTTGGATGCAGGATCTGTAGCTTTACAGTTATTTTCAAAATTAATTTTCAATGTGTTCCATATTTTTAGATTTTTTTTAAGTTTTACAGTTTTAAGTGTTCTTGTTTATCTTTTGCTCAATTGATTAATATTTTTGTAATAGTTGGCTATAATGCTGTTTTTGCTAAGTGATATTTTGTGGTATCGTGGATGCGTCCACTTCATTATGGCGTCAGATTCGTGATTGACGAACGAGGATTAAATTTTAGCAGTCCGATATTTAGCATTTTGTAACCATCTAAATTACTAAATCCGATCTAAATTTCAGCTACACAAAACACAACGATTTGAGATAATCTGATTCGTTGATTGGCTTTTCAACACCAACCGACCGTTCTTCGATATTATAAGATCATTCAAAATGTCAACTCTTGATTGAAATCAATATTGGTAGTCCTGAAAAGGACTGATTTGAGAGGGGTTAGTTCGTGCCTGGCGGCGTCGCTTCAAATGTTTACTTCTTGGCGGCGGCCTTCTTCGGTACAGCTTTCTTGGCCGGGGCGGCCTTCTTCGGTTTCGGCGTCTTCGGCTTCTTGGCAGCAACCTTCGACGAGGGTTTGGTGGCCTTCTGCTTGGGAGCAGCAGCAGCAGCCTTCTTGACAGTGCCGGCCTTCTTGGCTACCTTGGCACCGGCAGCTTTGGCTTTCTTTTCAACGGCAGGCTTCTTGGCAGCGGGCTTTTTGGCCTTCTTCTCGCCAGCGGCTTTCTTGGCGGCAGGCTTTTTGGCCACCTTCTTCTTCTCTCCGGCAGGCTTCTTTACCTTCTTCTCTCCGGCGGCCTTCTTGGGTTTCTTTTCGTCGGCTTTGAGCTTGAACGATCCCGAGGCACCGGTTCCCTTGGTCTGGACTAGAGTGCCCTTCTCGACACCGGTCTTCAGTGCCTTCCTGATGAAGGCCGACAGCTTGGCGACGTCGCACTTGTAGTTGGCAGCGATGTACTTCTTGATGGCCTGCAGGGACGATCCTTTACGTTCCTTCAGGGTCTTGATAGCAGCTACGACCATCTCGTTCACAGGTGGGTGAGTGGCTGGCTTCTTCGGCTTCTTGGCGTCTCCCTTGGTGGCCTTGGCCTTCTTGGTGGTCTTGGCTGGCGAGGCAGCAGCAGGAGCCGCGGCAGCAACTTCGGTGGCAGTTTCAGTCATGATGATTCACTTGGTTTAACTGGATACGAGTTGAACGTTGGATTGAAAAATGACTAACAGGCTGAAGTTAACTTCTGATGGCTGTGTTAGGGAGGTAGACGGAAACGGAAAACATGGGCTCATGTAAGATATTTTGATTTCTACCAGACATCGTTTTTAAATCAACGGTTTCTACCAGATTTAGGTAAATTATTTCGAATGAAATTAGTTTGATGAGCGAGTGGATTAGTACAGTTTCCCAAACCTCAACTGCTTTTTGGACTATGCTGGAAGGAAATGGCTAAACAACGTATTCTTTTGAGCAATGTTTGAATCAACTTGCAACTGCCTGTTGAAAAACAATCAAAATCTCCTATTGAAACAATTTTGATTATTGTGCCGGTTGCTTGGTACGATGGCCCAATATTTGTTTTACCCGCTGATATCCATTTTGTTCGGCTGGGTGGTGATTGTTCCGTTTTAATTCGATTTCAATCCGGTTGATTAATGCGGTTGCATTTTTCCAACTTGACTTCCATTAACAAGACTTCATCAATACCCCGTGACTTATAATGTTACATTAAAACACTTGGTATTTTTTTCGAAGATCTGGTTAGTCATGAAAATATTTCTACTAGTCATTCAGAAAATTAAGTTTAATTATTATAATTTCATATCGATATACGTGCATTCTATCAAATCGAGCGATGCAATTTTTTTTAGATTGATATTTTAATACTGCTACTGGAAAGTGGTTTTTAACACAACTACTGGAAAGTGTATGTAGAAAGACAATTTTAAGCTTAGTAAAGTCTTTCATTTACATTGAAAACAAATTTGTGCGAATCAATTTGAATTGATTAAATTTTACTTATTTTTTCAGGTATGGACGGCCGCTAGACAGCAAGCTGATTTTCAGGAAACACGTTGACAAAAAAAGCCAAGTGCAACATCTTGATAAGATCGTTATATCCACTCATCAACAGGAGGTCTAGCCTGTCCCTGAAAAATAAGCTTGCTGTCTACAAACAAAACATCATTCCCGTAATAGAATGTGGGATGCCAAGCTGGGTGAGTTGCGCAAAAAGCCACCATCTCAAATTACAAAGGATCCAGAATAAGATCCTGAGAATGATCCTCAATAGTCCACCGCGGACTAGAAATTCTGGGGTCCACCGCCTGGCTGGTCTTCAGACACTGGAGTTACGGCGATCTGATCAACAGATAATCATCAGGGATCTGGCACGTTAGGTAAGGTTAAGCTAAGTTAGGTTAAGTAGGGAGAATAACAAATTAAAACATTTAAATAAAACATTATTCACAAGAAGAGAATTGTAAAACATTACAACAGTAAAACCCGACATATACAAATACAAAATCAAAAATTTCACCAAAGATGAAGAGCCCTTCTGGCTAAACTTTTGCCATGTATTAGCAATTGTAAACCACGTAACAAATCACAAATAAGGAAGATTTTTACTACTACTTCTTTAGACTCTAAACTACCATTAAAGACAAAAAAATAATCATTTTTTTGAAACCGGTACAGTGGCCTAAATGTCGAGATAGAGGGTTTACGTCTTCAGCAAAGTTGTATCAAAAATTGCAACAAACAACTTAAATGAAGTCATATTTAACCTCAATCGGGATAGAGAGGGTTGTTTGAGGACGGATCCTCAAAAACCCTTTTTTATCAAAACACATTTTCTTTTATTTTAGGTCTTCACTATGTTCTACAAAGTTATTTTTCAAACTAAAATACACAACCTTCTAGAAAATACTAAACCAGCATCATTTGAATACGATGAGTTATTGAGAAATTTTCTTCAATTTTCCTCATACAAAACAACATTAAAAGAGCTTTCAAATGGTGGTAAACGACCGTCTGCTGGGGAGTTGTGCTCAAAGAAAACACCTGTTGATAGGCTGTATGGAAATCATGTTAGCATGGTTATTAGACTGATGCAAAATTTGAAATTGTTGCTCCACAGTGCTCAAACGGTTTCATATCCGGTTTCTGATTAGCCTCTCAAAATTTAAACTCATTTGGTGAGAAACTGACTTGGCACAAACTATTCAAAGTTTATATGGAAATTACTATGGGAAAACCAAACTTTTTGTTCATTGACTTCTACCCATTTTCCAAATTGATTTTTCTAAGCTACAACTTTGCGCAATATCGTTTTTCAGCCAAATGTCAAATTAAATTGATATTAATTGGTTAAGAGATTGATAATCTTCCCAAGTAACAATTTCCAGTTGAAGAAACGCTTTCGTTTTGATTTTGTTCAGCTGCATGTTGAATAATAATTGCACAATGTGTTCACTACAACTTTTATAAAACCCTTGTTTACACTGGTTTGGAGAACCTATACAACTGCAACACAAAGGTGTTGTTTAACGTACTCAGTAAAACGTTTATCCAAAATCAATTTCTTGTTGAAGAAACGCTTCCATTGTGATTTTATTCAACTGCATGCTGAATAATAACTGTACAATTTGTTTATTACAACTTCTGTAAAACTCTTGTTTACACTGGTTTGGAGAACCTGTTCAACTACAGCATTATATGTATACGCGGTATAGGAGTAGAAGCAACTTTTATACAACGTTTATAGATACATATTTAAACTCAAGCTTTATTATTTTGGTGAAAGCTCTTATACAACGTTTGTAGACACTTCTTGCCAGCTGCTTTGAAATTTAGTAGAGAGTAAACCTGAGAGGCGTTTGTTGCACTCTTTTATGACACCTAAATAATCATTGTACAGCAAGCGGTGAAAAGCGTTTATAACACTTTTCAATGACTCCTTAATAACCGTTGTGTAAGTACTCACAATATTCACAGATTAAAATTAGTTTAACAATTGTCGTGGTACGCCAAAATAATTGCTTGTACAGTTTTTATTAATTTAATTTATTTGTGCACATTGAAAAAATATGTAATTATGCCATAATTCACATTCTGTGTTCATGGAGGAAGTAGTAACAAGCATCTGTTTAATCTTTGATTGATATTCTTTCAATTAATCTCTCTAATCATTAATTGAGAGAATTTATCTAGAAATGTTATCGTTGATTTAATCAACTTGATTATATGATATATGTCTTAAATTAATGTTTGCATTTATTAATAACACCTATATATAATTTACCTCTACTCCACCGAGGGTTTCTCGAAGCAAGATTCGAACTCATGATCCCGGATTGCCAGCCGCTTCTGTTTCCATCTGCTCTGTTCTTGAATACATATTTTGATCATATGAGAGAAGTATATCAAGCTCATCTTGAGTGACTTCTCTTGCAGTCGAATAATCATTGCCTTATGGTTATATAAACATGCCTATCACTTGTGCTATTTTTAGCAACAAAATTGTGGTTGGTCGAACGTAAACAATCATTTAAGAGTGCTCCAAGCAGCTTTTGAAGCTTCTAACCAAAAAGGCAATACAACTACATTATTGTTCAACTCTGGAAGCTATTATTCAACGTTTGATCAACTCAGGTGTTGTATAAGAGCTCCCAATGGTTTGTTTTGATGCGTTTATTCCACATCCTATATGGCTCCTGTCAAACAGTTTAACCGAACGTAAACAATCGTTTAAGAGTGCTCCAAACAGTTTTTGAAGCTTTTAACCAAATGGCAATACAACTACGTTCTTGTACAACTCTGGAAGCTATTATTCAACGTTTGATCAACTCAGGTGTTGTATAAGAGCTCCCAATGGTTTATTTTGATGCGTTTATTTCACGTTCTATATAGCTCTTGTCAAACAGTTTAACCGAACGTAAACAATCATTTAAGAGTGCTCCAAGCAGTTTTTGAAGCTTTTAACCAAATGGTAATACAACTACATTCTTGTACAACTCTGGAAGCTATTATTCAACGTTTGATCGACTCAGGTGTTGTATAAGAGCTCCCAATTGTTTGTTTTGATGCGTTTATTCCACATCCTATATGGCTCCTGTCAAACAGATCTGTACATTATTTTTCAAAAGCATTTATAGCAGTTGCGATCATTTACGCAGCTCCGTTGTGGGAATTATGTGCTCAGACTCAGAGGAACAAGATCCAGGTATAGTCATAGTCTGGCGGATAGAATCTCGGGAACCAATCGAGCAAATTATGACCAACAACAGAGAAGAGCACATCAGTTATTGCCTTCGGAACCCCTTTTCTCGTGACTCAAGGCTCGCCAACACAAACTAACACCATCTTTGGGTTGAGGAAAGTTTTCCCTATCCGATGATGCCGTTAATTTGCGTTCGATTGGCAAAGAAAGAATAATCAACGTTTTGTTTATAAAAGTTGATAGTACCTTTTCAATTGGTGGTCTGCAATATATTGAATTGGTTCCGCTTTTTGATAGATCGAAAGGCTGTCTGGCGGCTAGCGATATAGATACAGGTGGCTCAGAACAGAGTCTTATGGAAGGTCCGCTAATTATGTCACGCAAATTTGGCCCATTTTAAACCCCTCCTATCTCCCCCCTTTGTCACATGTTTTGTATGGACCTTAACTTTTTTGTATTGCTCGTCACAGTTTCAAAAACCCCCTCCTCCTAAAAGTGTGACATAATTAATGGACGACACTAGAATAACGAACGTCCACCAAGAGGCGGACATTCCCAGAGTAGATTCCAAAATTGACGAAATTAGAATCAAATTTATCCAAAAATGTACCCAATCTGAACATGCTTTGATAAACAATTTGTATATAGTAGGTTAGGTGTGCATAGTAGATTAGTTTAGTTGTAGGTTGTGCATGGTAGTTTTAAGTAGTCTCCTTTTTCCAATTTAAAACAAACCAATCCTACCAAGGTGGTCATTCTTTAAAACAGGACTAGGAACTTTGAATAATAATTAAAAATTTCAAATGAACTAAAGTTGAAAAGACGCATCTGTGTTACTTGATAATTCATACATGTAAACCACAAAAATACAAGCAATAAGGATCATTTAAGTAAAAAAAAATCAAACGTTAACCCAGACGGCAAAAAACTCTACCAACTGGGTTTAAGTGTTTTTTCACAGTGCTCATCACTGTTTTGACGTAG